TTTCAAAGTGTTTACAATTTTGAACATTGAACAAGATTAGAAAATGTGAATTTTGCTATGGTTTTAATCAAAGGTTTTATCTGATCCTTCAGTAGTAGACACTTGCAAAATGTAGATCAAAGTACAGAGCTATTATTCAAGACATTTGATGTGTTATAAAAATTGTAAACTATATAACCCTACAAAGATGATTTACTTTTATAAATGGATAAAATAAGTATATGATGAGATATTTAGTAACTTTGACTACATTTTTCTTATTTTTGTAATAATTTATGAATAGGCTAATATTCAACACTTTGCAAAGTTTAATATATTTTATTTTAATTAAATTTGTTGATACTCTAATTTTTTAATAAGTACATAAACTCTTAAAATGCATACTTGGAACTATTTTAATGACATATAAATCTTAAAATTTACTCCCTGAAACAAATTATATTAGAAAAGAAAATTCATCAACTAGACAATGAAAATTATGTGAAATAATTCCTACAATGTAAATAAATAGTTTTACTAGCTCTGGAAAGAAAAATAAAGTTGCATCTTTTGAACTTTCCCTACCTCTTTGCCTGCTTAAGATTTTGAACCAAAGGTGATTGAAAAAGGGCCATTTTTATTTTCCTGTGCACGTGGAGTACAATACTGTCCTCTAAGGTCACTCTTAGTGCCATGATGTAGATTAATATTTTAGAGGCTGATATAAGGTTACTGAGTGAGAGATCCAAAACACAATATAAAAATACTTCTATTCATTTTCTGTTACAAAAGATCAACCAAAAATTCTTTCCAGATCTGGAAAGTTAATGTTACAGTGTTATCATCTTACTCCTTTAAAATTAATTGTATTTAGTCAACTTTTTCTGTTATTAGAAGCCTGTCTTGAGATATCACTGTGACAAATGCTTTATACACTAGATAAAGCTGTCAGTGGCAGCGTACCTTACTCTGATTGTTATTGTTCCTGAGTGGGAAGACTGGGGAACAAGAGGAAGTTGTAAAGAGAGATGAGAAAGAGCTTGAGATGTGAATTTGGGGTCCTTCAAATATTTAGAATTTGGGATGTGGATAGCGTCCAAGGAGAGTAATGACATCTCATGAAACAAGAAGAAAAGAAATAGCTAAACAGTCCTGAAAAATGATGCTGAGTGAGCATCTGGGCAGGAGGGCCTGGGCATCAGAACATTGCAGTGAGACTCTGAATGGTCCACTCTAGCAGAACATGTATCATGACCGTCCCCTGGAAACTTGGATGCCAGACTACAGAAAATATCATTGGCATAAATAACAAGTAAAGTTTGATGCTATTTACAGGTTTTTAAATGAAAATACAATTTTCTTGTAATTCTAAACACTACATAATACTGCATAAGCAATATATAAGTAGTCTATTGTATATATAATAGAGCTTAGTTATAAATAATACAGACCTTAATGTGTCAACAGATTTGGAGATGAAACTATCATTCTACTTTTTAAAATAAATTCCTTATATCTAGATCACCATGTCATCAAATTCATTTTCCCTGAGATTATTACCTGAGTCACCTTCTCCAAATGAATTCGCTCCTGGGTGATATACTTTTTACAAAGAGATTTTGCATTGTAAGTCATAATTTTTGCTTGAAAATTTTAACCAATGCTATTATAGATTTTCAAAGTTATACAAGGAATAGTTTTCCTATAGTCTGTCCTTAGAACTCTGGTTTGGATTGTCAACATTTGGAGCTGTCAGGATTTAGAGGGATTAGAAGAGTGGCAATGTTGCTGAGGTGCTGATTTTAGTGATAGCAGGTTTATTCCCATGCCTAAAGAAAGAGGGCTTGTGTTTTGCACTGGCGTTTTGACTGTGTGGATGAGCCACTGTGTTAGAAGGGCAGGTGCAGTGGGGTGGGGAGGGAGATGCAAAAGTCCCAGTTAAGGGTAAAATATCCATTTCTATGGAAGAGGCCTAATTTAGTATAATAAAAATGTAGCAAACATTTCCCTAATACTGCGATTTTTAAATCACTCTACTGACACATAAGCATACTCTGTTTCTTAACTGAAAACTCTTACAGCATAGATGGCCTCTTTCTATAAGAAGTTCATCAGTGAACATTTAGTAATAGCCTACAAGGAGGATTACAAGTAGGGATAGTTTTTAAAAACCTTAAAATATTAAATAATTTGATATTATTTGTGGTAAAAATGACATCTAAAAGATATATAAATAGTTTGATGGTAAAACTTGGCATATTGAAATGTATTCCCTCTTGTGCTGTCTGAAGTAAACAAGAATAAAAACTGAAACAAAACATAATCTCAAGTGTACTTAGGAAAGTATGAATTATTATACATTTGCATAATTGGAAAAGAAACATTTCATTTACAAATATAACAATAGTGTTATTCCTTATACAACTATAAAACTTTATTTAATCTTTTTGAGGTAATAATTAACTGTGTTATACTTCTACTCATATTATATTTTCTGAAGAATAAATATAAATGTATGGAAGGATAAAAGTATGCACCAAGCTTTTTTTTTGGTACCGGGAATTGAACTTAGGACCTTGTGCTTGCCAGGCAGGCACTTGTGCTTCTGAGCTATACCCCCGGCCCAAGGTGCTAAGCTTTTAACACAAATCACACCTTAGTTAATTCTGTAGAGTGTAATATTTTAAGTCATTAAGACCATCCAACACTATGTTTAATTGGTTTTACCAATGTATCAAACGAATCAAAAAGACAAAATATTATAGTGAGTTTTTAAAAATAGAAATGTGACCTACACTTGGATACTTTCCTTATCCCTCTTTATTTCAGCATGCTATCTGCAGTGGTTTCCTAACCACTTATTAAAAATTGAAAGGCAGTAGCTATAAACTCTCAGAAACATATTAAGCAGCCCACTTCAAGCAAGGTGTTGTGGATTTTTTTTCATGTTAGACTGAAGTTGCTGAAAATCATCTATGTCTTAATCTACTGAGTTCTGAAGGGTGATTGTCTGTACCATACCTGTCCATTTCAGCAGTAATTGAAAACACGGTTTTGAAGTAAAAAAAAAAATTCATCCCTGCCACCGTGACAAGCATAGTTTTATGAGAAAATCGTAGCTGAATATCCTTCACTGTCTTTACTTCCTTCATGAAACAAACCAAAAGAGGTGTCTATGATAAATCCTTGAGCTTAAGTAACTTCAAAAAGCAAAAAAACCTATAAAGATGTCAATTCTATACTCCACAAACGCACAAGAAAAAATACACATATTATAGATAAAATTTCAACTGTGCAATAGTTTTGCAATGATTTCATTGTCTCAAAATGCTGCCAGCATTTAAATGACAATGAAAGTATAGTACATATCAGTATTCTAGATATGATAAGAATGAGAGATTATTGAATTCAATATTATAATAATAGATAGTGTCTTCATTCTTTAATACAGTAGAAAACACCTAACCCAGTAAGAGTAAGAGTAATTTTGTTCTAGTGAAAACCTTTTATTTTCATTTTCTTCTACCGTTGTTTTCCCCTAAACATCCCAAGGAAACAAGGCAAGAACAATCTGGTAACTATATTAATGTCAATTACAAGAGTACCTATCCTTATCCTCATCTGTAAGAGTAAAAGGTATTTAATTTGAAGAAACAACTTAGTAACCCTTTTTCCAAATGTTTCTCCAGTATACTAACTCTTATCTATTTACTATCTATGTTAAAATATATTACTATATCTAACAGGAAAATATATTTCTATGTTGTCTTCTATTCATTTTATTTAAATATTTATTTATGTATTTTTGTAGTAATAGTAGAGATTGAAGCCTGAGACCTCTGTCTCTGAGCTGTGTCCCCAAACTGTTCTTAACAATTATTTTGAGACAGAATCTCACTAAGTTGCTCAGGCTGGCCTCAGATTTGCAATCTTCCTGCCTCAGTCTTCCTAATAACTGGGATTACAGATATGTACCATGGTACCTCTATGGGCTTCTATCTCTTTCATCAATATATTCAGCTTATTAAACTAGGTCTTACATCTTTGAAGGAATGGGAAATTTATGCTTGAAGTCTTTCTACTGTTAACTCACTGCAAGAGAACTAAAAAGTAAATGAATTTTTATTTTTCCAAAAGGCCTATCCCACAGGTATAAAGTACCCCTGTGTGACTTAGAGGGTACCAGGCCAAACGAAGTAGAGTTGTGTATGTCCTTGATACTTTGGCTTCACCCTTTGATTGGATCAGAGCTAAATGAACAACTGAATACCAGGCGCTGTCAGTGTATTAACTCTGACATTCCTTTCTCACTTGATCACTTTGTAAATGCATACTCATAAGCATGGAAGACATAGAGCCTATATAGTTTTCATCTTGTCACCAGAAAGGAAATCCATTCGTTCTTTTCCTTCTCTTTTTTGTTATTTGTAAGTGACCAAAATACCAGTAATGCTTGAAATGTTTTCAAATCCGTACAATTAAAACAAAGTGAATGTTTGATGAAATTTTTGGAAAGTGCAAATTCATGAATTAAATCCAAGCAGTTTTCACAATAACTAACCATATATTTATCAAACTTTTGTACTTTAATGAACAACCAGTAAGGTTTTACATAATGACACCATACTATAAAAGTTGCTCTATTTGATTAGCTAGTAGTACTTATTCACCCTGTTTTACATTATTTATCAATATATATCTAATAGACATTATTTCTTAAGAATTAGCCCTGTGTTAAACTTTTATAATTCTCTGAACTGGTGACACATCATTGATTTTTCATGAGAAAGCGTCACTTTTAGAAACTGCCATTAGTTTAAAATAAACAAAACCCCCAAGAATGCATGTCCTAAATAACTAAAAACCGGCTCAATTTCCTTTCCAATTTCTCTTCTCTGCTTCTGAATTCATTGCCATTTGCAAGTGACGAAAATACCAGCACTTTCCACTTATCGTCATAATTATGCCGAAGTATATTTCAAAACAAATTCTTTTGAATGGTATTAAAATCATCCACTTACAGCGTGAGATTTTCACCGTCCTCTTGACTTCTCCACTGCCAGATCCCTCACACCCGTCTTCATCGTCGCAGTCCCCGCTGACCTGCTCCGCCACTCCGCCTCCACTGCCCAACGCAGGAAGCTCCCACTTGTCAGGCTTGGGCGACCTCCCTTGTAACAACTAAATGTGGACACCAAGAAATATTGTTGACGGCTGATTCAGATCTTCTAAGAACTCTACTCAAAAACTTACGTCAGAAATTACAATTATCCTCTTTCATGGATCCACTCCCTTAATGCATACACCTAACCCAATCAAAACTTCACGATATGAAAAACAACTGAAATAATAAATAATGGGGAACATTTTGTAGTCATAAAGAGTTACAGTCTTTCTATTAATCCCATCATAAGGCTTTGAAAAGCAAATAAAATCAGGCCTTCTTTCTTATGATAGTTTGGAAATCTTGATTCATAATAAGCAATGTTGAAGCATTTCTTTTGAAAACCAATAGTCCAGAATTTCTCAAAAATATCTTTCCAGAAAAAAATTCTATCAAAAGAATCTAGAATTTTGGACATATACTTTTATAGCTTCATTTAAACTATCTCAGGTCAAATATACAGTCCAATACACCTGGCACATAACTGAATATTGGAACAAATTATATAGGCCCTCCTTGCATTTTTGCAAATTATACTAGAAATTTAACTAATTCCTCAGTCATGGTTCTTATCATTTCATTTACATTTATGAGTAAAATAGAAGAGCTACTCGTCCCACACATCATAGGGATGCTGGTAATATTTTAATAATATTTGAAATATGTGAACTGCTTTCCAAAAAGGTGATGTTATGAATAATAGAATATTTTACTGAAAGCTAAGTCTGAATAAAATAACCCAAATTGTGACAGGTACTCCTCTAAGGCAGTTTTGGTGAATGCATGACCAAGCATAATGACTGCAGGTTATTGCTATATTATGAATGAAATCTAGCCTGTTGCTTATTTAATGGATATTTAAATTCTCATGGTGCTTTATGAAAGATTTAGGTTTGACACTTTTGCAACTTTTCAAAAAATAGTTTCAGTTTGCAGATGGTAATTAAATATACAACCCAAAGGTAGCATTTCATATTGAAAAGCACAGAGTGAAATAACCTCAGTACATCTAAGACAAACTCATTTGTCATTTTAATAGTACTTGGATCAAGCAACTGAACTTGGAAATTCATAAATTTCAAAATTAAAAAAAATTAGGTCACAAACTCTGAAATATTATAATTTTTTTAAATTTTGTTTTAACAAATCCAAATAGTAAAGCAATTTGACAAAAAGTTTTCAATTTTTATTTTTTTTACCAGCACTTCTCATACATGCTAATAGGTGTTAAATTTAGATGAAGTGTTCTTTCAAGGTTATATGAATTTAATAAATGTATGTTACACAATGTGTCTTCACTGTGTTTCACATAGTGATATGCATGGTACTTCTACAAAGTAAGAACAGGTCTGTGGTGATGAGGAAACACCAGTATGTACCAGCCATATAAAAATTCTAATCTGAGAACAGGAGAGTAAAAGCAAATGGATTTATTTTGTACTTTTTTATTTGTTACTTTGAAATATGCCATTTAACAAGTATTTAGTAAAATCAAAAATAGTTTGCATTCCAAAGTTCAACACAGATCTGAATCCTAATTCTGACACATACTAACTGTGAGACAGAGGTATTAATTAAGTTATTGAATAACTGGATTCCTTCACATCTAAAGGAAGAACAATAATTTTTGCATTTCATTGCTCAAATTCTGAGAAAAACATATGTGCTTTACAAAATGTGCCAGGGAATTAAAATTTAATACATTTGATTATTAATTTCCACTTTATTAAATATTCCATTACAATATTTTAAACACTCAGAACACATTAGCTGAAAGAAGTATTTCATAAATAGTCCATTTACATGACTTACATTGAAAATATTCAAAATATATTCTGACAAGTACAGCAATTGTAAACTCTGGTGATGTGTTGTTCCCTTTTTGACCCTAACATCCTTTTCCAATATTTTCCCATAGCAACTTTTTTTTCCCTTTATTTCTCTAAGAATTCTTCAAGTATTTTACTGGGATATTGGCCAGGACACAGATGGAATCCCAAGGACAACATCAACAATGTGTAAATCATGAAGATCCAATCCAAAGAATTTGAACTCAAACATACAAATGGAAAGGTACTCCATGTAAAATGAAACTTCCTGTTTTAAGAAATTCATCTTGGTTTAAAGGGATTGAACATACTCACTTTTAGTGACTAGTAAAAAGAATAGAGAATATTTAGAAAAACTCCCATTTTCTACATTTTTCTATCACTTTGAGACATTCTAGGACCTATCTAAGGTACATGAACTCAAGTTGTTAAGAAACAGAACTATGAAACTGTACTGTAATATAATAAAATTATCTGTGCTGAGCAGATTTGAAAAATGGACCTTAAGACTTCCCACTCTAATCCCTAGGGCTGTGAATATGATATTACCTTTATGACTACTGCCTTACCTAGAAAAGGTATTTTGTAAATGTAACTCATGTCATTCCTAGGTGATTTGGTGTTTACTGTAAGTCAGACTGCTTAGGTGGATTAAAAAAATCACACCTATTCCTTAAAAAAAAAAAAAAAAATTCTCTACCGGTAGAGTCAGGGCATTCAAAGCAAAAGGTCTTTGTTGGGTGCAGGGGATCAATCTGCCCACCTTGAAGGTGTAAGCTGGTTTGTCTTGTGGCAAAGAGTTGGGCTATACGTGACCACTAGGCTCCAAGAAGAGGATGATCTTCCTTCCACCCAGAGAAGAACTCAGGACCTCCTAGAAGCAAATGCTCCCTCAGAGCTCTAACTTGTGTCAAGTGTGGCTGACAACTGCATTTCAGCCTTGTGAAACTGTGAACAATGAGCCCACCCAGATATCTGATCTATGAAACTCCAGGGTAATAGATGGATGCTGTCTCGAGCTGATAAATGTGTGATCATTTGCTATGCAGCAAGAGAAAAATAATAGACTCTAACTCCCAGTTGGTGTACACTTATGTCTTGGAAATTTGTTTTGATATCTTTTGATTTTATAGCACATTCTTTGGAACAAGAGGTCAAAACATTCATAAGATAACACCCCTATCCATAAGATAGTACCTCTGGAAACAAACTCTGATATTTCATCTCTGCCTCAGTTTTCATTTTCTCTGGCTCTTTAAAAGACTTTCACTGTTTTCCTTGTCTCTGAGCAAGACATAATCATCGTTTCCAATGATCAACTCATCTAAATACAGTCTGCCAAAAAATGTGTATATCAGGAAAAGAAAAACTTATATAAATATGTAATAGTAAATTTATTGAGACAGCATGAGTTAATGCAAATAATCTTTGGTCTCTACAATTACAAGAGGCGCTCAGGGGTGGCCATTAGTGTTAGGAAATTTATTAGTACAGTGAACTGCTGAAGTGCATGTATTTCTTTTGGTGGACACTGAATGTGTAGCATCCCAACTGACCCATGAGTCAAGGTCTCCAACAATCCCCTCTCTTTGGTAGAGTCAATATCTCCCTGTCCTTAGCAAGGAAAGTCTTTTTTATATATTTTATTTGCTAATTTCAAAATTATTATAGGTCAAGAAATACAATTAATATTTATATTTTCATTCTCCTTCTCATAATTGAAATAAATACAGTTTTGCAAAAATTCCCGGTAGATTTCTAATCACCCATTTCAATGGGCTTTTCATAATAAGATGATTATTCCTCGTCTCTCTGTTTTTTGTACTAAACTATTCTTGACCTCTCCTTAGTCTGATCATCTTTCTCCCCCACTTCACAAAAAATAATAAACGTGTTTCAGTGAAGAGTATAAGTCCTCTTCATCTCAGCCTCTCTCAGAAAGTCAATCTGTTAGAATGCATCTACCTATCCTCGCACCTGTGCACAAATTACACACTGTTCTTTATCTGCAGCTGTTTTTGTACTCCTTAGTTCATCTGTAAGTGGCAACTGGAGGTGAGGATACACTCTCTCATTTTCTGTCCTACAATGAAGTTCTTTGTCTCAAGTATTCCTAAGTCATTATAACCTATCTTTGCAAATCCCCTACTGCAAAGGTCATTATTCTCTCCTAAGCATTATCACCTTATTATTCCCCCAAATCAGTACTTTCATCACATTATTTATCAGCTATAACACTCCTTGAAATGCTTTACAGTCAAAAACTACTGGTTCCCAACATGTATCTGCAGGGAGAAGTTCCCAAACAGAGGAGTCTCAGGAGGAGTGGTACAACATGGTAAATGGGGATGCACACTATGGCCTCTTCTTGGTTTCTTTAAAGTTTCATAGGAAATCTAACAGCAAACAATCTTGTCATGTTAGGAGTCACCTCACATTTTCCAAATATTCATAAGCAAACTGCCTGTCTTCCCTCATTCCATACATACTAATAGACTTTTAGAAATGAGGCTGAGAGAAAAATTTGATGGTGGCCTGGCAGTCGATTTCTTATTTAGCATACTGCTTTGAGTTTTTAAAATTTACATTTGGCCGGGGATATAGTTCAGTGGCACAAGTTCCTGCCTTGCAATTCCTATGTACCGAGTTTTTTTACCAGAAACAAAAAAAAAAAAAAAAAAAACCCACAAAAATGAATAAATAAAAGTTATATCTGCATACAGTTCCTCAGCACCAAAATTCTGCTAGAGAGTAGAATTCTTACAGACTATATGATTTTACGCATCTATAATTTCATTTGTGTTTATTTTGTAGTGGCATAAATTTCAGTTATTGTTTTTCCTCTCACTGAAAATAACACATCCTCTTTTTTTAACTTACCCTGTAATATCTAGTTTTAAGTTCAAACTCAAATATTTCTTTTTCTACCCCAAACATATTTTAAGATCATTTTAATTCTATACCATTGATTGGCACTTAATCAACTTTCTTAAACAAATTCACATCTTTTGGATTAAAGTAAGTTTCTCAGAGTTGAGAACAGGATTTAATTAGTCTTATACCATTTTCAATCCTGACTAGAATGCTTATCACAAGGTAGATGCTAAATATACGTATGTTAATTCATTTATTTGAGGTTTGAAAATAATTTATTGAGCTCATCCTGTCTTAAATGCCCTCTATATATA